CTGGCCAAAGTGCTCGCGCTCGTCTATCGGCAGGGAGTTGCGAATAGCGAAGCGAGTGTGGGCGTCACGAGTCTGCCACTGTGAGCGGGTAGTGCTGTCAGCAGTAGCAGTAGGAGCAGTAGCATGGCCTAGGGCGTGATCGTACAGTGAGATGTCCTCCTTGGCAGTGAGCTGTAGGAAGAGGTGTAGGTCATCTAGCCAGGTATCGAACTTCACTGGGTGGCCCTCAGCATCGAAAGCTAGCACAGGAGGGCTAGCCATAGCAGTAGTAGGAGTAGCAGTAGAGTAGCAGTAGTAGCAGTAGGTGCACCCTCAAGACAGTAGGCAGTACGACTCAGGTAGGGCGGCTCGGTCCAGTACGGGAGGCGCGGCTCGGTTCAGGTAGGGCGGCTCGGCTCGGGTAGGGCGGCTCGGCGGGGTTCAGGCGGCGCGGCTCGGTTCGGGCTGGGCGGATCGGGTTGGGCGGCTCAGTTCGGGCTGGGCGGCTCGGTTCGGGCTGCTCGGGTCGGGCGGCTCGTTCTGGCGGGGCCGTGGGTGTCGCGGTGGGGTGCTAAGGGGCGGGGTCGACGGGGCCAGCGGGGCCGCTAAGGGGCGGGGTGTGAGTCGAGGAGGCCGACGGGGGCGCTAAGGGGTGGGTGCGCGCCGGGTTTACGGGGCCGACGGGGCCTCTAGGGAGGTCGCGCATGGGTCGACGGGGCCAACGGGGCCGCTAAGAGACGGTGTGTGAGTCGAGGGGCGGCCAACGGGGCCGCTAAAGGGTGGGCGCGTGCGGGGAAACGGGGGCAACGAGGCCTCTAACGAGGTCGACGGGGCCAGCGGGGCCGCAAAGGGGTGGGCGCGCGAAGGGATACGGGGCCGACGGGGCCTCTAGCGAGGTCGACGGGCCGACGGGGCCGCTAAGAGGTGGGCGCGCATGGGTATAAGGGGCCGACGGGGCCTCTAACCGAGTCGCGCGTGGGGTAAACGGGGCCTTAGGGGCCGTGAAATCGAGGCGCACGAGGGCGCTAGGGGGAGGCGCTCGAGGGCGCTCCGAAGGTAGGGCGCACGAGGGCGCTAGGAAGTAGTAGTAGTGGTGGGCCCTAGGAATCGGTCCTAGCGGAGGACCTGCTTTGATTCCATGTTACAAACAAGAAGTGATTGAACTATGAAAGTTGGAGCACAAGTAGGAAACCCTAACTTTGTGTACCCCCTCAAGGCACTATAGCCTACACAATAATAACACATATAGTGTTTGACAGACGAAGTTCCCCCACCTGGGGCGAACATCGTCAGTGGCATGTGGATTTTCAGGGTGAAGCGGCCGCCGGGTTCTCTGCCTCACTTCAAGGCGCGTTACGTGGCTCGAGGTTGCAGTCAACAGCAGGGAGTTGACTATTTTCAGACCTTCTCTCCCACCCCGAAGATGACCACTCTTCGGGTGCTATTGCACATAGCTGCTCAGCACGACTACGAGCTTCACTCTCTTGACTTCAGTACTGCTTTCGGGTAGCCTGCACGAGATCTGGCTGCGCCGCCTACCTGGCTTCACTGAGTCGTTTCCTCCTTGTACCCAGTGGAGTCTCCGGCGGCCAGTCAACGGTCTCCGCCAGGCGCCCCGTGGGTGGCACAACACATTGAGGACTACTCTTGCGGCCCTTGGGTTTGCTCCTTCCACTGCTGACCCGTCGCTGTTTCTATGCACCGACACCTCTCTGCCGCCGTTCTACATCCTCGTGTACATCGACGACTTGGTCTTGGCTACTGCTGACACTACTAGACTCGCCCACATGAAGTCCGAGCTGCAGAAGAGACACACATGCAGAGACCTGAGTGAGCTGTGCAGCTATCTTGGCTTGTAGATCACCCTGGATAGACCACTACCTTGACTTAGTCACACATGGTGCAGCAGGTCCTTCAGCGCTTCGGCTTCACGTACTCCTCGCCTCAGGCCACTCCTCTGTCCACTCGCCACTCGCTCTCAGCCCTGCCTTCGGATGAGTCCGTAGAGCCGAGTGGCCCGTACCCAAAGCTTGTTGGCTGCCTCATGTACCTGATGACCTGCACTCGACCTGTCCTCGCATACCCTCTTAGCATCCTGGCACGCTATGCTGCTCCTGGGAGACACCGACCAAAGCACATGGATGGGGCTAAGAGGGTGTTGCGCTACTTGTGCAGTACGTTTGGCATGGGGCTTGTGCTTGGAGGGCGGAGTCCAGTTGTCCTCACTTTTCACGCAGACGCGTCTTGGGTTGACGACTTGGCTACGCAGCGGTCGTGACAGGATTACACGTTCAGCCTTGGTTCTGGCTTTGTTTCGTGGCGGTCTACCCGCTCGTCTTCTGTTCTCAGCTCCAGCTGTGAGGCTGAGATCTACGCTAGGGCCATGGCTGCACAGTAGTTACGCTCGCTCACCTACTTGCTGACCGACCTGGGAGAGCCGCCTCGTTCTCCTCCAGTTTTGTACGTAGACAACAAGGCCATGCTGGCCTTGTGTTAGGAGCACAGACTGGAGCACAGAATGAAGCACATTGCTCTTCGCTACTTCCTTGCACGTGAGCTGCAGCAGTGTGGTCAGCTGCGTCTTGCTTACGTGGCCTCTCGGGCCAACACTTCTGATATCTTTACCTAGGCACTTCAGCCTTGTGATCATCAGCGCTTCTGTACTATGTTAGGTCTTGTGCCTACCTGGCCTCACTTGCTTACTTCTTAACTTTGCCTTGTACCGTGATCTATATGTACCTACACCTGCATGTTACCCTTTCTAGGTTGCGATCACTGTCTTGCTTGTTCACCTTCGTATATAATCCTGCATGTGAACTGGCCTTTTGGCCTTTGAACTTGTGCTCGGAATGTGTGGTGACGTTGTGATCCACCCTAAGCTTGCTTTCCTTTGCTTTGCTTGATTGTGTCAAAGATAGAACTGGAACAATGAATGAGTAGAAACAAGCAGTTCAAGGGAGGATATAGCAAACCCTAAGGGGGGTAGTACCCTCTACAGCATAACTCAATGTATCACCTAGACTAAACTAACAAACTATAACAATAATAGTTTGACACACCCCTATAGTCTAGGTGGCGGTAGTCCTGTGGAAAGCAACACACAACCCAAGAGCAAGTGTCACAGGACCAGTCAGCAAGAACAAGCAACGGTCACAAGACCAGTTCATAAGAGCAAAGCAACACTCGGGGTGGATCTCAAGATCACCACACATTCCGAGAACAAGCAAGAGGCCACAAGGCCAGTCCACATGCAAGGATATAGCAGATATAAGAGATGCAAGACATGCATGACAAGCATCTCTACAGAAGCAAGGGGCCACAAGGCCTGTCCACAAGCACATATATAGGAGATATAGTAAGATGCAAGAGTACAAGAGAAAGCATCTCTACGCAAGCAAGTGAGGGCCTGTAGACACAAGGCCAAGCTGGGTGCAAAAACGCTGGTGGTCACAAGGCGGCAACGCCTTAGTGAAGATATCTGCAGTGTTGGCCTCAGAGACCACACGTCGCACGAGTGCCTGTCCACACTGCTGCAACTCACGCAGAAGGAAATAACGAAGTTGGATGTGCTTCGCCTCCCCAACGAGTCGGGGCTCCTCGCACAACAGGATAGCAGACCTGTTGTTGGCAAACAAGACTAGGGGAGAGAGAGGCCGCTCACCAAGGTCGGTGAGGAGGAAAGACAGCGAGCGAAGCTCCTGGGCGGCCATGGCTGCAGCGTACACCTCTGCCTCACAGCTGGAACTAGAGACGGACGACACCCGAGTTAACCTCCACAAAACAGCTCCTGTCCCAAGGCTGAAGCAGTAACCCTGTGTAGACCGCAGCGACTCTGCGTCGTCGGCCCACGACGAGTCCGAGTAACCTGTAAGTGTAACTAGCTGCTTCCCTCCAAAAACAAGTCCCATGCTTGATGTACTCGCCACATACTTTGCCACCCTCTTAGCAGCGTACCAGTGGGAAGGTCGATGTCTCCCATGCGCAACAAAGCCCGCAAGGACGCTAAGAGGGTAAGCTAGGTCAGGGCGAGTACAGGTCATCAGGTACATGAGACAACCCACCAGCTCAGGATATGGACCGCTGGACTCAAACGGCTCGTCCGAAGGTGGAGCCGTGAGCCCATGGTCCACAGCAAGAGGGGTGGGCTGTACCTTGGAGAACCGGAAGCAAAACCGCGTGAGGATCTGCTCGACCATATGCGACTGCGTCAGCGTAATGGTGCGAGCTGCCCTGTCCCTGGTGATCTGCATGCCGAGGTAGCGTGGCAGCTCACCAAGGTCAGTGTAAGTGTGTCTCCTCTGCAGATCCTCCTTCACGGAGGCCAGTGCGCGTCGGTCAGGAGTGGAGAGAACCAGGTCGTCAACGTAGACCAAAAACAAAGAAGGGGGTCGAGCCACGACGGACGAACAGCGACGGGTCGGCAGACGACGGAAAGAAGTCAAGCGCTGCAAGAGTACCCATGTTGGAATAGACCCTTGAGCAGAGGGTTCATCCCGTTGAGCTGGATGCCTGCTACATTTCCGGGGCGGCTCAATGCATCTTCTTTGTTGTGTAGCCCGGGCTTGTAGACGAAGCCGTAGTGGAAGTGAGTTCCCAGGAAGTCCACCCACCGCACTTGTCGTCGTGAGAGCGTCGGCTGCGACTTCAGGTATTTGAGACTGCAGTGGTCAGTATAGACTGTAGTCTTGGCTCCCTCTAGGTAACACCTCCACGCCTTGAAGGCTATGACTATCGCTAAGGCTTCCTTGTCATGGATGGGGTAGTTCAGTTCTACTCCGTGTAGCTTCGTACTGAGGTAGGCGATGGGCTGCAAACCGCGTCCGTGATCTTGCATCAGTACTGCTCTGACTGCTTGGTCACTAGGGTCTGCTTCCACCACGTAGTCCTTGTCTGGATCCGGTAAGATGAGTACTGGGGCTGTGGTCAGTGCTGTCTGTAGCTGCTCCATGGCTTGCTGATGAGGGGTATCCCATTTGTAGGGCGTATCCTTTTTCAGTAGGTCAGTTAGTGGCGATGCTATCTTAGCGTACTGCGGCACAAACCTTCACGTTCTCCGGAACTTTCCACTTCTTGACGGCTTCGATCTTCCGCGGGTCCACGTGTATGCCCTCGGCACTCACCACGTGCCCGAGAAATTGCACCTTCTTCAGGGCGGAGTCGCTCTTCGACAGCTTCACGTAGAACTTGTTTTTCTGCAGGATCTCGAACACCTTCCGCAGATGCTCCACGTGCTCCTCCATGTTCTTGGAGTAGATGAGGATATCGTCCAGGTACACCACTACGAACTCGTCCAGCAGGGGCCGTAGAATATGGTTCATTTCCTCCTGGAACGTCGCTGGTGCGTTGCAGAGTCCAAACAACATCACCAAGTATTCGTAGGAGCCGTATCTTGTACGGAACGCCGTCTTGTGGATGGAGTTGTCCGCCATCTTGATCTGCCAGTAACCCAACCGAAGGTCCAGCTTTGAGAAGACTATTGCACCCCGTAGTTGATCAAGAAGGTCGTCGATGCGCGGTATGGGGTTTTTTTTTTTTACTGTCTGTTTGTTCAGTGCGCGGTAGTCGATGCACATCCATAAACTACCGTCTGGTTTTGGAGTGAAGAGAACTGGTGCACCGTAGGGAGAGGTGGATGGGCGGATCAGTTGTCTGTCCAGTAGATACTCTATCCATTTCTTCATGTTTGTGAGCTCGGTCGGACTCAGTCAACATGGTGCGCGTGAGACGGGTTTCGCACCTGGTTCCTCCACGATCTTGTGCTCGTGGGTGGGTGCAGGGGGTACGCCTACAGGTAGGTCGTCGGGCATTATATCCTTGTACTTCTCCAAGACCTCCTTCACTGCTGCAGGTAGCTTCTCCTCCTCTGTTGCTGCCATAACCAGTGCTAGGTAGCCCGTGTTACTCTCGTTCACCATCTGTTCGAACCGTGCCAGTGTCATTTCAGGAACGCTCCCTGTATCCGTCCAGCTTCGCAGTGCTATTTGCTTCCCGTTGTTGTAGATGCACACCTTCCTGTTGACCCAATCGATCTCGGGGTTGAGCCGCTTCAAGAAATCTCGCCCCTAGATGAAATCTAAACCCTTGATATTCGTGATCGGCAACGTCAGCTTCCACCTTAGCACCCCTATGTGCAGCTGAAGTGATGCTTTGCCGTGGATGGGAAGTTTCGTACCGTCCACCATCGTTGCCGTGAACTTGGTCTCCTCGGAAGGTTTTCCAATTTTCTCCAACGTCTCGCGGTCGCACACCGAGTGAGACGCACCGCTGTCCACCAGTGCCTGGAGGCATTGCGCGTTGCAGATCACCTCGAGTAGTAGTGGTTGTTGCTGCTCCGAGTAACCATAGATGGTCTCGCTTATAGGGTCGTAGGGTACATCGAATAGATCATCCCTCGGTTGTGCGCTCGAAGCTGCTGACTCCATATCGGTTTCCAACAGAGTAGGGTTAGAAGGATATATCCGAGGCTGATTCAGCTTCATCTTTGCCTGGAACCTTCCCTTAAGCCTTTGCAGCAGTGTAGGCTTCTCCTGTGGGCAATTGGGAGCCTTAACACTATGCTGCGGGGAGAGAATATGAACTCCTTGGAACGCACGACCCTTTTCAATGCTCCAGAGTGGTTTGCCCAACTTCTCAGGTACGTGAATAATGTCTGAAGGATTTTTCTTGGCCTTGAAATCTACCCTGAATTTTTTAAAGGCTTGAAAACCTCGAGAGAAAATATTCTTACTCTCGGGGGTGTTCGGCTTGAGTTTCCCGGTCAGTGCAGAGTCTTGTTTCGCGGAGCCTCCATTTGTCTCGACGATTTCCCCTGTTGCCGGCCGGTCGTGGCGTTTTAAATTCGCGCCATCGTGTCCTCTTTTTTTCGCCATCATGGATGTTGCACTGTTGTTGCCCTGCAGCTCTACTTGTGCCTTCTTCATTTTCCAACACACCAAGAGTCGATGTCCTGCTACGCCACAAAATTCGCAATTCTCATATTTTGTCGGCCGCTTGTCAGAATGGTATTGTCTAGCCGTTAGTGGGGTGCTCTATAGCGAGTACAACCCTGTTAGGGTTTGCTATATGTATCCCAACTGCTCCTAGTGAAACCCCTCCTTTCTTCATTTCTCTCTTGCCTAGCTAGCTAAACCCTAGCTATGGCTCCTCACTCTACCTACGATTGTTACATGCTATCAGAGCATCTACGCTCCTGGCCTATGGGCCCACCTAACTGCTTCCGCTGCTACTCTGTGTGTCGCACGCCCCGTGGCGTGCGACGGTTTTTTCTTCCCGCCGCTCGCTCGGAGCGTGCGGCGGTTTTCTGCCCGCCGTGTGCCCCGAGGCGCGCGGCGGTTTTCTGCACGCCGTGCGCCCCGAGGCGTGCGGCGGTTCTCTGCCCGCCGTGCGCCCCGAGGCGTGCGGCGGCTTTCTGTCCCGTCGGTCCGCGCGTCGCCCCCGGGGAGCGCTTCGACGGGCGACGGGGACCAGCCCGCCATCCCCCGTCGCCCGTCCCGGCCAGCGCGGGCTGCGCTAGCCCCGAGCGCGGCCCGTACGGGCTGCGCCCGGCCCGCGCGCGGCCCGTACGGGCTGCGCCAAGCCCGCGCGCGGCCTGTATGGGCTGCGTCAGGCCCGCGCACGGCCCGTACGGGCTGCGCCAGGCCCGCGCGCAGCTCAGGCCGCCTGCGCGCGGCTCGTCGGGTTGTGCCAGGCCCGTGGGCGGCTCGTTCCTCTCTGGCCCTGAGCTGCTCACTGTCCCCCGTGCTTCTGACGGTGACCCACCCCTGCTGCTGCCCGTTCTCCTGAATTAGGGTTTGGGGGTGGGGGGGTATGGGGGTGCAGTTTCTGTGCGCCGTTCCACTACTTCTCCTCCTCCTTCGTCTCCCGCTGCTCCAGCTGCCGCTCAAGGGGGTGGGTGTGTGGGAGCCGAAGGAGTGGTGCTAGGGGGGTGACGTGGGAGTGGAGTTAGGGGTTCACCAGGGGGTGTGTGTAAAGGGTGTGGGTCAATTGGAGGAGGTTGTGTGGAGGTAGCTGTCGTGTCGCCTGCAGCGCCTGTCGTCCGTCGCCCTTGCTTCGGTAGCCAGTGAGCCTGTTGCACCAGTCGCCAGTGGGTCCGTTGCTCCTACCGCTCATCTATAGCGGCGGAGCCAGTCACTCCAGTAGTCCGTCGCCCTTGCTTCGGTAGCCACTGAGTCAGCCGCTCCTGTGCCCGTGCCTCTGCAGCTTCAGTCGTTGCCTCCCATCTTCTCTCCTTCCACAGTTCCTCCTCCTCCTCACTTGCCCTCTGAGATAGCCTCTAGCTTTGCTTGCATTTGTGAACCTGCTCTATGACTGCGTACTCTGCTGATTACACCCCACTTTGGCTATGGGAGTGTGTCAAAATGTTATTATGTAGCTTGTAGTGGGGTGCTCTATAGCGAGTACAACCCTTTTAGGGTTTGCTATATGTATCCCAACTGCTGCTAGTGAAACCCCTCCTTTCTTCATTTCTCTCTTGCCTAGCTAGCTAAACCCTAGCTATGGCTCCTCACTCTACCTACGATTGTATCACCGCGGCTTCGCGTCAATCTTGTCGATATTCATCGGGTCAGCGGTCATGGGTGGTGCCGATCGCACCATGCGGAATGATCTGTTCGGCTTGCGTCGTCGTGTTCCGGGTTGACCTTGAGTCAACACATCGAATCTTTCTGCTGCACACACCAAGACGCGGTAGTTGTTGTACTTTGCGGCAATCACCAGTCAGCGGACTTCCATCTTTAGCCCCTGAGTATACGCTTGGATTTTTTCCCCTTCGGTCAGGTCGGAAATTTGGTTGAAGAGGCTCTCCATCTTCTGCGTGTACTGTGTTACACTGCCGAACTGTTTATGCCGATGAATCTGCTGCCACGCCATGTAGCTGGAGTTGATTGGTTCGAAACGTTGAATTAAAGCTTCCTGAAACTGCGTCCATGATCCCTCGCCTCGGATCTTATTGCTGTTGTAAATCCACTCGAGTGCCGGGCCTCGTAATAGTGTCGCTGCGAGCCGAATCCACATTGCATCGTGTGTCGCAGTCGTACAGCCAACGGCCTCAAAGTAAATTTCAAGGGTCGCAATGAATCGACAGACGTTGGTGTCTCTCGCATTCGAATTGAACATCTCCAGTTACCTCGAACGTGCCGCCTCAAGATTCATTGTAGCCACCGCCGCTGTTGCTGGATGAAGTGTCGGTGTAGCCGCTCCTGCTGCTGACGTCGCTACTGCATTTGCCGCTGCATTCGCTGTGTAAATGAGAACGAGAATGAAATAACTATGAACAAAGTGAGTACAAATAGGAAACCCCAATTGGGTTGTACCCCCTATGGTATTCCCCACTATAGCCTACACAAATAAGTAAGCTATAATGTTCTGACACACCCCGATAGGCAAAGTGGGGGAGAACAAGGGGTCACAAGACCAGTCAAGCAAAGCAAAGCAAAGCTCAGGGTGGATCACAAAGTCACTACACATTCCGAAAACAAGTTCAAAGGCCAAAAGGCCAGTTCACATGCAAGAACACATATATAGATATACAAGAGTCTAAGCAAGCAAGAGCAGGAGTATATATATGTCAAAGTACAAGCAAGGTCAAGAAGTGAGCAAGTGAGGCAAGACAGGCACAAGACCCAGCTTCGCGCAAAATCGCTGATGATCACAAGGAGCAAGTGCCTTGGTGAAGACACCAGCAGTGTTGGCCTCAGAGACCACGTACGCAAGCCGCAACTGTCCACGCTGCTGTAGCTCATGAGCAAGAAAGTAGCGGAGAGCAATGTGCTTTGTCCTGTGCTCCAGACGCTGCTCTCAACACAAGGCCAACATGGCCTTGTTGTCTACGTACAGGACTGGAGGAGAACGAGGCGGCTCTCCAAGGTCGGTCAGCAGGTAGGTGAGCCAGCGAAGCTCCTGGGCAGCCATAGCCCCGGCGTAGATCTCAGCCTCACAACTGGAGCCGAGAACAGAAGACGAGCGGGTAGCCCGCCACGAAACAGAGCCGGAACCAAGACTGAAGGTGTAACCCTGTGACGACCGCTGCGTAGCCTGGTCGTCAGCCCAAGAAGCGTCCGCATGCCCAGTGAGGACCACTGGACTCCGCCCTCCAAGCACTAGCCCCATGCCCGACGTACTGCACAAGTAGAGCAACACCCTCTTCGCTGCAGCCATGTGCTCTGGTCGGTGTCTCCCAGGAGCAACATAGCGTGCGAGAATGCTAAGAGGGTATGCAAGGTCGGGTCGAGTGCAGGTCATCAGGTACATGAGGCAGCCAACAAGCTCTGGATACGGGCCACTCGACTCTACGGACTCATCCGAAGGCAGAGCTGAGAGCGAGTGGCGAGTAGGCAGAGGAGTGGCCTGAGGCGAGGAGTACGTGAAGCCGAAACGCTGAAGGACCTGCTGCACCATGTGTGACTGAGTCAGGGTAATGGTGCGGCGTGCTCTTTCCCGAGTGATCTGCAAGCCAAGGTAGCTGCGCAGTTCACCCAGGTCAGTGCACGTGTGTCTCTTCTGCAGCTCGGACTTCACGTAGGCGAGTCCAGCAGTGTCAGCTGTGGCAAAGACCAAGTCGTCGACGTACACAAGGATGTAGAACGGCGGCAGAGAGGTGTCGGTGCGCAGAAACAGCGACGGGTCTGCAGTGCAAGGAGCAAACCCAAGTGCCGCCAGCGTAGTCCTCAGTGTGTCGTGCCACTCACGCGGCGCCTGGCGGAGACCGTAGACTGGACGCCGGAGACTCCACTGGGTACCAGGAGGGAAAGACCCAGTGAAGCCAGGTGGGCGGCGCAGCCAGATCTCCTCGTGCAGGCTGCCCTACAAGAAAGCAGTGCTGAAGTCGAGAGAGTGCAGCTTGTAGTCACGGTGAGCAGCAACGTGTAGCAGTACCCGAAGAGTGGTCATCTTCGGGGTGGGGGAGAAGGTCTGAAAGTAGTCAACTCCCTGTCGCTGACTGAAGCCACGAGCCACGTAACGTGCCTTGAAGACAGGCGGAGAACCCGGCGGCCGCTTCACCCTGAAGATCCACATGCCACTGACGATGTTCGCCCCAGGAGGGGGGACAGCGTCAACGTAGGTGCCTGTGGACTTCCAGGAAGCCATCTCTGCATCCATAGCTGCCTGCCACTAAGAGGAGTAGGGACCCTCTATCGCCTCCGCGTAAGAGCGCGGAGTCGGGATGTCAAGTGCATCCGGGTCTCCCTCAGGGGTGAGCAGTACAGACACGAGATGAGGTGAAGCGGCGGCCAGACACTGGAACTCCTCCTGCCTGTCCTCAAGGACGTCCGTGCCAAGGGCACACTCACCCCCGACGGACGGAGGACAGGCAGACTCAGACTCAGCGACCAGACTAGCAGCGTAGTCTAGAGGACAGCGAGCAGCAAAGTCGACGCGCTCAGTAACAAGGGCAGACGCAGCAGTAGACTCGAAAGAAGGGTCA